TATAAAAAAGATACTCCATCCGTCCCATACAGATAAATTTGTTTACCATTTTCATATGTTCGAATTATAGACTACTTTTCTTGTCGATAGTATATTGATTTCTCCACTTTTTATATGTTCCTTTTTAATGTGCATTGTTATCAATAAATTTAAACCACTCCTATTTAAACAATTATATAATGTAGGGATATTAAGGAAAATGTAAGAAAATTTATATTTCCAACTATATTAGTTCGACCCCCATTATTTCTAAAATATATTTTTATCTCACTTATTTTTAACCCCCACATTTTCAATAAAATAATATTAAATACAAATCCAAAAATTTTTCTTATTTTTTAACCACATATTCTCCATCAAAATACCATTCCAAAATGCACTTTGGACAAAAAAAAAAAAAAAAAAATGGAGCTCAAACAAACTCTAATTACATTTTGTAAAAATGAAAACAAGTCTAGCTTCGAATAGAGGGAGTAAGATTTTTCTTGGATAAGAATGAACATGTATAGAATCATTAAGATTTTTCTGCAAATATTTCCCATTCCATGTTCATGCTATACTTATATTTGTATAATTGAGTTAATACTGGCATATAGTTAGTTGATTACATTATTGTACTTCTGTAGGGCGTTGCATTTGAAGGTAAGTATGGTCTCAACTCGGCATTTGATCCAAATTTCTAGAATGAAGCAACCATAGCCCAAGTAAGAGTCGCGTTATGAGTTAGGTAGTTCCTTTCACGACATGTCATATGGGCACATGAACAAAAAAAAGTAGCTAATTTATGATAGAAAGTCAAAAGAGTTATCGAAAGATAAACATGAGAATCAAGAGTGAGGCGTAATAACATAGGATAGCGAAGACGAAAGGCGCAAGGACATAGATGATCTCAAGTCAGCATCGAGGGCACAATTCAATGAAAATATAAGTTTTATGCTTAGTAAAATTAAAAAAGGGCTCTCTATATATCCTTCCATATTGAGAAGTAAAGAGTAAAAACAATGTTTTAATATATTGTATTAGAATTTATCTACAGTACATACTATATATAAATTTTTTTTATTTGCATTGTTTAATTTGTAGTTTACTTGTCAATTCTTTTAATTAAATTGAAAAATGGGAATAAAAAGTAATACACCAAAATTTATGGACAGGCAATGGAATCAGTTGGAGATAAACATCGGAGCACTTATTACAAAAGTGTGTTTGATGGATATTACTAGGAAAAAATGTATTTTAAATAGTGATGCGATATGATGAGAAATATGTGGTTAAAAAGTAAGGAGAATTTATTGATGTGATAAAAATATTATTTTATTGAAGAATGTGCGATTAAAAATGAGTTTTGAAAGAATGTGTGTAAATGTTGCCATCGGAAATCTCTGAAAAGATGGATAGTCATTACTGAACCCTGCTTTTCACAAATTTCATCACAAAAATGGAACAATAGTTGACAATCATGACACAATGACGTGATGTGTTGTTAAGCCCAACAAGGATCCAAATCCTCAACTAGTGAATGAGGTGTTTGGGGATCTCAAGAAGTCACTAATTCATCAACTTACCGTTACATAAAACCAAGATTGGAGGTGCTTTTGAAACATCTTATAGCTAGGAAAAGCACCTCCATTTTATTGTCTCAAAAATATGATTACAAAAGTAGAATGCACAGAAAAGATTAAGGAATGTAATTATATAGTTTAAGAGAATGAGAACTAATTACCTTAAGCTCAATATTCTGTATTCAAGGTCAATAAATGTGTAAGCTCTTTACTTGTCTCTTATTTAATTAAATATTGAAAAGAGTTTAGTATCACAATTCACCATTACATATTTCTAACACTTTGTAACAAGTCAATATGTGAAATCTCAAGCTCTTTGTAACCCACCATGGAGTTCTCTAAAAAGAAATGATATTGTTCTTTAAAAAATAAAAAAATTGAACTTTAATTTAAATCAGGGAATGATTTCATGATTAATGATATCTACCCCTACTTATTTTGTCAATGAATATTTTTATGATAAAAATATATGAAATTCATTCGAAACGTGACCATTTGAGGGGATTTTCATCTCACTAACTCCACCAAATTTATTTGTATAAAAAACAATATATGCAATATAGCGCCCATGTTTGACCTCCATTATTCCCCATTAAATCAGAATTCATTTTTCTCTATCTTCTTATCAACTACACATTCTCCAATAAAATAATATTACACTAATATCTTACATCAGTGACGAATTTTTCAACTGCTGATTCACTTTTTTTTTTTATTATTGTAAATTGATTCCAAACAATTTATTGTCGCTAATGTAGTAATATTTTGGACATATGTTGTAAATTGATCATAAGATAATAGCAATATGAAATAAATAAAACAAACAAGAAGAGGAAGACCTTCTAGGAATAAGAGATATAGGACTAAAAAGAGAGCAAATAAATAAATAAAAGAATATTCCGTGTATAATCCTGCATACTCTTGAATGTCATCAGTTCCTGTATGTAGACCAAATAATACTATCCAAGCAAAAACACCAAAATTTTACGTGAAAACCCTATATTAGAAAAATTATGGGCAAAGGAGGAGAATTTCACTATAATTAATGATGAATGTGTTTATGAATCAAGATCTCAATACTTTCAATTAAGATCTATACTCAAAATGTTGTATGAATGTTATGATCTCAATACATGTCGTGAAGAATATATATATAAACTCTAAAATTCAAGTTGTAGATGAATAGGAATCTAGAATAAGTGTTAAAACACGAAACGACTTGCACGTCGCCCAAGCGCCGGTGAACGACAGCTCCGCAGCTCGAGCTCCTAGCGGACGCCAAGTTTTTGCTGATTTTTTTACGACACCGTTCAAGAGCCACATCTAGCTGCCATTTATGTCACTATTTTTCTCCTTGGTCCATAATTTGATCTTTTCAAGACTATTTCAACCAAAACTCCAATACCAACTAGAATTTGGATCGCATTACAATAACATATTTTATTTTGTCACAAAATCTCTTGCAATGTAATTGGGAATGAAAAGTTCTTTTTCTTCCAGCTTCGATTTCCCAAAGAAAAATAGAAGGACGAAGTTGTTTGTCAAACATCATATCTCGTTCAAAACAATGCTAGTTAGTGCAGTTTGCATAATTTTCTTTGATATAAGAGATTAAATTATTTTTTTTACTGAAATTGTTTTCATAAAGTGGAGCAGCAAATAACATAAACCAAACCCGCATAATTTTAGCATTTAATGCACCAGCTAAACAACGTCTGTGGACTTGTGTCGTTTAGTGTAACATCGAATGAGGTGTCACACAGTGAATTCCTCCATTAAAAATTCAAGAAAAATGCTATGTGTACTGGTTTTGTTTCAGCATCCGTGTGGTTCAGTTTTTCTTTATTTCGTTTTTCAACCGAATTTTACCAAGTAGCCGACCAGTATGAGTCTTGTGAATCATATTCTGTAAGTGTAGTGAGGTTCAAAATTCAATGATGCAAAGATGTTTGCACCTAGTTTAATCTCTCTGGTGAAATAGTATTAAAAGTGCTAGAGAAGTTACTTCCCAATAATAATTATACATTCTTACCCGTTGATTCAGCCTAGGTTTTGAGGAAAAAAAAAAAAAAACATAGCATCTTTTTGGGAGTTGGGTGGGTGGCGTGGGGGTTGAGTCAATGAAGGGTTTCATGTGGAGGAAGACATAATAAAACCCAAGATGCCAGACAAAGGTATTGAAAGATTAGAAGAGGGAACATTTGGGAGTATGAAAAGGAATTAGAAGGTAATGTGGGTTTATTTTGGTTTACGCACATGATAAACCAGATACACACTAGCAAACAGATACCCTTTTTTGGATGTCTAAACAGATCAAGTCAATAAGTCTTTTTGTACTCTGTTAGCTTCTTTGATTACATCTATACTACGCTACATAAAATACCTTTGAAAAAATCTGGAAACAAAACCCATAAAATTTCAAAATTTGATGTTGTGGTCTATTATGGGACAAGATTTATATATAATTTAGTTTAAGAGATTAGATTATACTGTATTCTGCGGCCTGTCATTTCTTAGCATGAAAAGGGAATTTCTTTAATGTCCTTTTTCACTGAAATCATAAAAATAATATGTTTGTACGCGTGTGTATGAGTATGAGAATTTCTCTCTCCTCTTCTGAAGCGGAGTGGGTGGGGGGAAAAGGAATCATTGAAGAGGGTCTTCTCTTCAAGATTTTTTAACCCGTCGTCTACGGGGAAGGAAATCAAAAAGTGGCAATACATCTTTTTTATGTTGTTTATGCCTTTTCATCTTTTGTTTTTTGTGTTGATTAATGATTTATGTTTTTTATTTATTTATTTGCTGCTTTGTGTGTTTTGACTCGAGAGGAAGAGACCTTGTTTTAGTGTCATTTTCTTAGACATACTCTCGAGGAAGAACAGCAAACCCAATTCCCCCTTCTTCTTTCCATGCCTTTCTGGAATTCTCTTGTTCCATTATTTCATCTCTCTCTAGAATATGTCCACTTTTCTTTACTTCATCTCTCTTTGAGTTTTCTTCTTTAGCTTTTGAAGCATACATGGAGTAGTAGTCTTTTCATAGCTTTACAATCTTTGAGGGACTTTAATCCCTCAAACTATTTTCCCAGAATCAAGAAAAAATTTGGGTTTAATTGTCTTTACTTCCTTTTTATCTCCCTGTTTATTCTCTCTTACTACTTTTTCTTGATATCAGATTGGATTTGGTGAGAAGATAAAAGAGATTGCACTCTCCCTTTACTCAATATCTCCTAGATTTCTCAAATTTAGCCTTTATAGCCCACCAAGTTGTTCCACACTTTACAATCTCAAAACAAATTCTAATCTGTATTACAAATCTTCCACAACAAATTTGGAGTTTCTTTTTCTATCTCCTATTTCCCTTTTTCCATGTCACTTTGGATTTTAAATTATCTAGAAAAAGAAAAGTAATTGATTTCAAGAAAATCTAGCAAGGAAAATGCCCTTGGAAGGGATTTTTGTAGAACCCTCTTCAAATCAAGTCCCTGATCTTTCTCTACACATTAGTCCTCCCAACAGTTCCTCATCGGCAATCTGCAATGGCGTTAGTGAAGTTGCAGCAAAATTCGATCTTTCTACAAGATGCGAAGAAAACGCATCCAAGAGTTGTAATGCCTTCATTCAGCTGTCCTTAGCTCACCCTGCAACTACTGTCAACGGAGAAAGCCAGTTTCGACGAAATTTCTATGGTGGAGGTCAAGAAGAACAACCACAAAACCCTTATCACCATATCTACCAATCTAATAGCCAGATAAATCACATGAACCATGGGGTTTCAGTGCTGGATGTTTCCGACGGTTTGAGGCCTATAAAGGGTATTCCGGTTTATCCCAACCGTCCATTCCCGTTCTTGCCTCTGGACCATGTCAGCAGAGAGAAGGATCCAAAGATGTGCTTCTATCAATTGACTTGTCCCTCTTGGTCATCCTCTATAGCATCGTCTTCTTCTTGTACGTCTTTATGTTCTCCTTCTGTTTCGCACTCAGCTTCACCTTATTTTGGTGGTGGTTTGGATCATATGTCGATTTTGAACTCGGTGCCTAACACTTCCTCTTCGGCTTACCGAATACCCACCGGTGGTGGCCCAAGGTTTAATGGGATGTCTTCCTCTTACCAATTTCATCGTCATCATAATCAACAGTATGGAGTAGGGCCTTCTGAGGCTTCTCATGGAATGATGAGATCAAGATTTCTTCCCAAACTCCCGACAAAACGAAGCATGAGGGCACCCAGAATGCGATGGACTAGCACCCTTCATGCGCGTTTCGTTCACGCAGTTGAGCTTCTTGGTGGCCATGAAAGTAAAATATTCTCTCTCTAATTTTTGTTGATTTATTCTCGATTTTTCCTTTGTTTCTTTTATTACTATTTTTCTGTGCTCTTTTCTAATCCTTTTTTATGTTCATTGATTTGTGATTTTCAGGAGCTACTCCCAAGTCAGTTCTTGAGCTTATGGATGTCAAAGATCTCACTCTAGCTCATGTCAAAAGCCATTTACAGGTACAGAAAAATGAAAACTCACATTTTTTCTATCTACAGTAATATTCTACTCTCTCTTTCTCTCTCTGGGTTAATGGTGTCTGTAGAGGTCCCCGTCTATTTCTCCGGCACATTAGCCGATGAGGGCAGTGAGTGAATGTATGAATTAATGAATAGGAGAAATCTTGAGAGGGGCTGATAGTCAGAGCAGTAGCGAAAGAGGAAAAAGAAGGAAAAAAATTGCAGTGCAGAAATTATAGAATGATAACGGACAAAAGCAAGTCATCATTTTTCAATAATACAGCTCATCACTGCCTTATCAAACATCAACCTCGTGATTAATGATCAAACCAACACATGACTCAGAAGCCCAGTAGTTTTAATCTTAACAAATACTACATTCACTTGAGAGAGAGAGACTACATTCACTTGAGAGAGAGAGATCTGAGAGTGTTTTCGCTTTTCTTTAATCGATTTTTAATTTTCTTTAATTATATGTATACTTTCCAATGCAGATGTATCGAACTGTTAAAACCACTGACAAGCCTGCTGCTTCTTCAGGTAATTCGTGTTGCTTAGCAGATTTGATTAACTTCCTTAAAAGTCTTACAGCTCATTTCCTTGTTAGAAATGTACGCATTAAAATCCTTTTAATTTTCTATGCAATGCATGCATTGGATTTTTTTTTGAAATTTTTGGGTTCTTTCTTGAAGGCCATTCGGATGGCTCCGGTGAAGATGATCTCTCCACAATAGGCAGTGCTGGTGCCAGTGACCGGGCCAGAATGCGCCGACTCATTGATCAAAGAGGCTCATCCGATGGATCTTTGCAACAAGAATCTGATTACCCTTCTAATGCAAGCACATTATGGAGCAACTCCTCAAGGTCTGCATCTCTCTCTCTCTCTTCTCTCATGTGTTTATATATATTTACTTATATTATATGCATATTTGTATGGAAGTATCTGTTAAATGTCCACGTACTGCTTTAAAATAATGGTGGAATATTGAATTCCTTTCCTTTTCCTTTTGCATGGTACCTGAAACATAGAAAATGCAAACTCACGTCCACCATTTTTGAAGAATAAAAAGGTTCTTGTGGCAGCTTTTGCTTTTGTTTTGTTTTGTTTCATTTCGTCTTTTCTTTATATTAGTCTTTGATTTTGGAAGATTTTCACCTGACATTGGCTTACGTAGTATTGATGTGGTACTTAAAAAAGGTTATCTCAAACACAATCAAAGGCTAAATTAAGAAAAGAAAAAAGCATAGAAAAGCAACCTAATGCTACACTTTTTCTTTTCTCCTTGGAATTATTTCTTAATCCTGTTCCTAAAGTACATAATTCTCTAACCTGGTTCTTATTCTATTCACGAGGAGATATATTTGCATAGAGGACCAAGAAAAAGGACCAGTACCTTGACTTAAGTGCTCTCCTTTTCTTAAAGTAATACTGTGATAGTACTATTGAATATATGCGGTTTCTGTGTGTATTCTTGTATGTCTATATTAATATAGATAGAATCATATATAGGATACTGTTTTGGAACCAGCTTCCGTGCATTAAGATAACTTTGACAGTGAAGTGGCATTTGCCTTTGTCTAAATCACTCCTCTTTTGCTACAAAACAGTGGGCTTATACTGTGTAAAATGGAGAAAAATAGAAGGCCCTAACATCAACACTGTTTCCTTCTTCTGTGGGCTGTTCTATTTTTACTTTTTCTCGTTCATATTTAAAGGTATTGTTTCCATTTCAGACATTTAGTTTCACAAATTCTAGTCTGCTTGTAATTCAAACTGCACAGAAAGAAGACCGGAAGATTTTTCCTAGGATCTATAGTTATATAATTCATTTGTTGACAGTACAGCATAGAATTCACAAATTTGAGACACTATAGTCAATGTTTGTCCACAAGTTCTTCTTTTCCAAAACAGTTTTAGATAAGCACTTGACCAGTACTTCACCCTCTCGTATTCAAACAACTATCCTGCAGTTTAATCATACTTTCCCGTGAATTCAGCTTCGTGTTTGGATGAAAATGTTGCTAAAATAAAGAAGTCTCTACAGTTCAGTTTCATAGACTCAAGTTGACTTGGTCGTCCGCCTATAAATGATAATACTAACTTGTCCCTGGTCGATATTTGACTGAACCGATTCGGATTGCTCCTCATGATACTTATTGTTTGCCCTCGATTTCATTTTATAGAGGTCTTGTTGTGAGTTGAGCAATCGACTTTTCGTCGAGACCACCTCTACCTCTACTACTCTAAAGGAGCTCACGCAGTTCGATCAAACTCTCACAATGTAAACCATCAAAGTGTAATTAAATACAGAATATGAAGAATTTTGTTTCCTTCTATGTGCATGTTTCATCTATGGTGCTTTTAGAGAATTAGATGGAAAAGAAAGAATTTAACACACTTTACAGTTTTAACCATCTATAGTTTGGCTTGTAATCCATTCAACTTGCATATATGAATATAATTAACATGACATTGTGCAAGTTTCATCTACATTGCTTTTACATTTAACTTGTTTCTCTTTTTGTATTGTTCGCTTATATATAGGTAAATGAACATATTTAATCTTTGTAAATTCCATTGTTGTTTTGAGTCACAATACTTAGTTTTCTTAGCTGAGACAAAAACAACGTATTTTAAAATTAACAATGTATAAGGTATCAAGAACTATTTATTGAAATATTAAAGTTGTTGTACATGTGAAAACCTAGGCGGGTTCATGGTCTTTTTCCTTTTTTTAGTGTAAGAGGGTGTTTGTTTTGGATTAAAATCTGATTTTAATCTAAATCAAAGTCAAACAATTAATATTAACCATATCTTTTAAGGGTCTCACAACTTTTCAGCCACACATTTCAAAATTTTTTATTAGAATCTACTAAAAATCTAATTTCAATCCCCACCAAACACTCTCTAAGACTCTTCAATGGCCAAAAATAATCTTTTCCACTAATTATTGTAAAATTCTACGAGTGATAAGTTCTTCATTTTATTGCCCTACTTACTGCTGAATGTGATTCATTACCGGTGATTCAAAGACTTAAATTGTCAGATAGTATTTCTCCTAATGCAATTTTATTTTCAGATGTTTTAGAACTGTTTGTGATGGTGTGAGTGTGGCAAGTGTCACCATACTTTGAGATAAGAATCATGTGGCTCACAATATAGCTTCTTTCGCCCTTTTTTTCCGTTGAATTTTTACTGGACTGACTGTGTTACTTGTTTGAATAATTGATTTGTGTACATTCAGTTTGACTGTCCCCTCGAGACCGTCAAACTGAATGTACATCAAGGGTGTATATCTAGCATTTCCCTACTTGTTTTATATCATCATATGTTCGTGGTGATTTGATTGAATGAAATAACGACAGAATGGAAAAAAACTGTGCTGCTGACATTATATTTCTCTATCCTATAAATTAATTCATAATTCCATATATTACAGCCAGCAGTCTTTTTGTTGAAATACACTTCGTTGGAACCAATTATTTTCAAATCCATATAACCCCATTGGACCTTAAACATAGATTTATTAGCCATTGGAATATTTCAAATTCCATTTTTTAGGTACACATACTTACATATCAAATGCTTATGCCGTGCAAATTAATAAAAGCAAGTTTCTTTTGGAAAATAAACTAGCCTGAGCAGTATATGTTGTTTGTAGCACCTCCACAGCACGTACTAGAGTGACATTGGGATGTCGCGAAGTAAACTTGTAAAGTAACTCTAAATACACTAACAAATTTCTGTAACTGTTGTTTTTCAGCAATAGAGAGGGTTGGTTACAAGCAAATGCTGGGGACATGAATGGTCTCATATCGTCATTTTCTCCGTCACAACAAAATTCCAGTCGCCAGATAGAGGTATATATATATTTCTTATATGATTATTTCAAAAACTATTATACAATACATTGTTCAATAGAAAATATGTTGACACTAGGTCCACATGATCAAGGATAATGAAGGAAAGAAGCATAACGAAAATTTCAAACTAGAGGGCAGTGAAGGAGGAAAAATCTAATATTCTTTCTCCTTCTTTCCTTCCTTTTTGAACTTTATTTTCATTGTCAACATAAGCGGACAAATTTAAGTAAGTTCTGTTTGACACAGATTATTTCAAAACTCATTTTCAACAATACATTTTTCAAACCACATATTTTCCATCATATCACTATTTCAAATAAGATCATGTTTGATTGTCACATTTTTCATGGAAAATATCACACCCCAGGAAAACGAATTTTACTTTGGTCGTTTGATTGTAATGTGGAAATAGAAACAAAATTCTAAAGCTACATTTTATTTGTTTTCATGGAAAACGAATTCCTATGGGTTTGGTGGGTTTTTATTTTTCAACTAATATGAAATCATAATTCATTTCCAACTTTGTCTATCAAACGGACCCTAAAATCCATCAAACACACCCTAAAAATCGTTTACTACGGCTAAAAGCAGTAATAGAAAACTTCCCATGAGGGATAAGCAGTTATAGTAAATATGCAAGCACTCCTCTAATTTCCTTTGGTAATAATATGAGTGACAACCTCAAAACCATTGCAGGAATATGATTCTTCAATACCGAAGAGCTATCAAGGGTCTAAAACGGATTATAAAAACCCAAGCTTAGAGTTCACACTTGGCAGACCAGACTGGAATGAAAAAGAGCATGTCTGACTGATATTTTCTCCATTTTGATTCGGTTTTAGGAAATGAAAATTAAGAGGACTTGAATATATAAAGAGGTTTTGGCAAGAAGAAGTAGTAGTAACTTTTGTTTGTTGGATATGCGATCCTATCATATTTTATACCTACCATAATTTGTTGTTTTTTTTCCTTTCTGGCTGCGTCTCTAATGTAACAAATTTAATGGATATTTTGTTGCATTCCATATGGAAAAGCAAGAACAGAAGATCAATTATTTGGAAAAGGCACCTCTTTCTTTGATTGTTGAAGCTTTTTTATTCTCTTTTCTTTCTTTAATCCATCGAATATGGAGAATTAGGGGAATTTCATATTACTATGTTGCGATCTCGTTGGCCTTATGTATCTTTTTCTTTTTTTCTTTTTCCTTACGATTGATGGAAACTGGAGAATTAGAGGAAGATTGTTAAATTTGCTTATTACATGAAAAAAAATTAATAAAATTAGCTAAACATAAATAGCCAGATATTAAACATCATTATTATTGTAGGGTTTTGACAATATCCGCGGATTCACAGGAAGAAAAGAAAATATGCAGATCGAAAGCAACAAAACAAATTCACCCTAGTTCGACCTTAAGTTATACATCACGTTTGAGCTCCATAACGGAACTCCACATGCACTAGGAGAAATTACAACAATACGAACCAGTTGACAGACGAAAACGGCACGCTACTCAAAACAACAAAATATGAACACCCTCTTGCAGCCCTTCTCATGATGTATCTATTACACCAGAACCCTATGGAACAATTGAAATCTAATCGGTAGTAAATGTACAGTGTATTCCAGAAGAGAAAGAGAATTCCCAAAACAGCTTTATATGAAGGCCGATGTCCGTTTGTCCTTGGTTCAGTCATGATAAGCACTTTTGTAAGGTAGAGAGGTGTTTTAATGTTCTCCTTCTTATTTACTATTTTTTACCGAATTATTCTACATGTACATCAGGGTGTTTGGCCAATGATGCGGAATGCTACTTTGGCATTATGTACATAGGGTGTAAATCTTGAAGTATAGTAAACCCCCTTTTTCTACTGTACTTCTATCACCCTCCCCGTTAGTAACACTCTATGTATGTTTACCATTGTACAAAGCTATGTGGCTTTGAACCTATGTAAACAATGTACTAAGTACTAACATGCTATGTTCTTGAATACGACAGAAATAAATGGCGTTGTTTTGATAAATCGTGTGTTTCAAGTTAATTTTATCTATGAACAAAGGATTAGACAAGAACGGGCACTCTCACTACTTCCATCAACATTAAATCAACACATAATCTTTCTACCTTATACATATCGATACAAAAATTAGAGGTTGTGATAACTAGGTACGCATTAATCCTCCACTAACCATTTGTTGAATATATAAATTTTATTTATTTTGATAAGTTAATTTATCTTTTGATATTATTTTGCGATACATATATTTTATTTAATAGATACATGTACAAGTGAATTAATTAGATACATGTTTTGATGGCTTCATGTACTTGGGAATTGCAGGAGTCATTTGGAAAAAAAGTGTGTGAGTTAATTATGCTCAAAATATCTTATATCAATTGTTGGGAATTCAAGGATCACGTATCGCTCGATACCACTTGATATGAACCCAACCACCAGATTGAGATGTTGAAGTTATATGGCACAATAATGAAATATTTAATCATAAGCAAAAGAATAAAAGAAGGCAATAAAATATGGCAGAGGAATTATGATATTTTATTGCATCAATAATAATAAAGGAGAAATATACAATTGATCCTAAAGTTATAATAATCTCTTTTCTCACATATAAAATTATGTAGAAGAACATAATATTTATAGGGATCATGTAGGGGATGTCCAAACTCTTTAGTAGAGTTGTCCAAACTCTCAATTGGCTTCCAAAATAGAATTTCAACTTGATATAGGATTTCAATAACATTCTAAACTAAATTTTTCTTGAGGTACACTTCAATTAGAATTTTTCAATTATTTCAAAAATAAATTCGGGTCACACCCAAATTCTAACAAAAAATATGCAATTAAAATTTAGTACGTATATTAGTTTAGATAAACAATTTGTGATGCCAATAAATAGCTACGGATCTTAATCATTTTGGTTAAGTCAATTGAATAAAACTTGAGTGTTCTCTTGCAAGTCATCATCTCCTCTCTTAAAAATTATTGGTTTACCTCAAAGTTTTCAACAAAAGTAGTATCACAACGAGGTCATAGAAGTACACTACAAAAAAAATTGCATCCAGCGACTTGTTGGTCACTAAATGTTATTTCTTGGTCGCTGGATGTCGTTTGTGACCAAATATTTGTGATCGATTAATGGTCGCAAAAATCACTGTTGTTAAATCTATTCAGCGACCACTATAGTTGGTCGCTAAACATGTAACCTCCAACGACCACATATTGGATGCGATAGGGTTTGATTTTTGGTGGCTGATAAAGGAAAAATTGGTTGATTTATTGTCGTCAAATGTCTTTCGCGACCAAACGTTGGTCGGTAAATATATTAGGACAAAATATTTTACACTAACAACAACCAATAACTGGTTGGTGAAGATAATGAAATAGCGTCCAACCTATGGTAGGTGAATAGTGCTACCTTTCTTGGACCAATCATTGGTCGGTAAACATTGATAACTTTAGTGACCAATCATTGGTTGTTGAAGGACAATATAAGCATTAACAACTAAAATCTTGGTCGGTGAATGATAATAATTTTTTTCCTTATTTTCTAGTGACCATAATTTGGTTGTAGAATAAGTATTATCAACCATTATGTGGTTGCTTTACGTATGTATCAATGCTTTTATAATTAATATTTTTTGTTCCTGCCAATAATTTGTCAAATATTTCAATTTTGAACATGCACAATTACTAAATTAGGAATATCTAAAATCAATAAAATATTAAATTTAACAAAAAAGATGTCGCTGCAGAAGAAAATTGTACTGCACGGATAACATCAAAATGCATCCCCCTATAGCATCTTGCAATGCTTCCATCATATCATCATCTTCCTGATCTTCCATATCATCTTGAACGCCCTCTGAATCATCATCAACACCATTCACTATCAATGGTTCTCTATGAAAAATCCAATTTTGATAGTCCCGAGAAAATCCTTTCACCCATAAATGCCACTCAACCACATCAATATTTCGTACACATTACGACAGTGCCAATGAGGACAACGAGTCTTGTTATCATTTTCCATATGATTTTTTGCCAGTTCGATGAATGATTTAGCACCATTAGTTTATCCATCTGACAACTTATATTGATACCAAATCCAACTTTTATTCATGTTGATACCATAATTTACTTAACTGAAATAGATAAATTAACACTGAGAGAAATGAGAAACAACGAGATGCACCTAAAAGGAAAATACACACGTTTTTGCCATATATTATTTTGCGATACATATATTTTTATTTAATAGATACATGTACAAGTGAATTAATTAGATACATGTTTTTGATGGCTTCATGTACTTCGGAATTGCAAGAGTCATTTGGAAAAAAAGTGTTTGAGTTAATTATGCTCAAAATATCTTATATCAGTTGTTGGAAATTCAAGGATCACGTATCGCTCGATGCCACTAGATATGAACCCAACCACCAGATTGAGATATTCAAACTATATGGCATAATAATGAAGTATTTAATCATAAGCAAAAGAATAAAATATGGCAGAGGAATTATGATATTTTATTGCATCAATAATAATAAAGGAGAAATATACAATTCATCCTAAAGTTATAGTAATCTCTTTTCTCACATATAAAATTATATAGAAGAACATAATATTTATAGGGAATATGTAGGGGATGTCCAAACTCTTCTAGTAGAGTTGTCCAAACTCCCAATGGACTTCCAAAATAGAACTTCAACTTGATATAAAATTTCAATAACATTCTAAACTAATTTTTTCTTGAGGTGCACTTCAATTAGAATTTTTCAATTATTTCAACAATAAATTCGGGTCACACCCAAATTCTAACAAAAAATATGCAATTAAAATTTAGTACGTATATTAGTTTAGATAAACAATTTGTGATGCCAATAAATGGCTACGGATCTTAATCATTTTGGTTAAGTCAATTGAATAAAAGTTGAGTGTTCTCTTGTAAGTCATCATCTCCTCTCTTAAAAATTATTGGTTTGCCTCAACGTTTTCAACAAAAGTAGTATCACAACAAGGTCATAGAAGTACACTACAAAAAAAATTTGCATCCAGCGACTTGTTGGTCACTAAATGTTATTTCATGGTCGCTGGATGTCGTTTGTGACCAAATATTTGTGGTCGATTAATGGTCGCAAAAATCACAGTTGGTAAATCTATTCAGCGACCACTATAGTTGGTCGCTAAACATGTAACCTCCAACGACCACATATTGGACGCGACACGAATTGATTTTTGGTGGCTGATAAAGGAAAAATTGGTTGATTTATTGTCGTCAAATGTCTTTCGCGACCAAACATTGGTCGGTAAATACATTAGGACAAAATATTTTACACTAACAACAACCAATAACTGGTTGGTGAAGATAATGAAATAGCGACCAACCTATGGTCGGTGAATAGTGCTACCTTTCTTGGACCAATCATTGGTCGGTAAACATTGATAACTTTAGTGACCAATCATTGGTTGTTGAAGGACAATATAAGCATTAACAACTAAAATCTTGGTCGGTGAATGATAATGATTTTTTTTTCCTTATTTTCTAGTGACCATAATTTGGTTGTAGAATAAGTATTATCAACCAATATGTGGTTGCTTTACGTATGTATCAATGCTTTTTAAATTAATATTTTTTGTTCCTGCCAATAATTTGTCAAATATTTCAAAAAAAAATAAATTATGAATCTTTGTCAAATATTTTTTGTTCCTGCCAATAATTTTTCAATAATTTGTCAAATATTCCAATATTTTTTTGTTAATTTTCTATGTTGAGACCAATACTCAAAA